GTATTTTTACATTGTTGCTCATGTATGCTTTCTGTTTAGTGTCGAAGAAGTCTTCTACAATTATTGTAAAAGAATATGTAGAGTGGGGTGTTATAATAGGATAAGATATGAGTATCAGAGTTGGTATTTTCGAAATTTTATAATGAATATTTCAACCTAGCATGGTTATTCCATAGGTGGTACCACACATGTATGTTTTCTTTAAGAAATTATTTTTTTATAACTCTTGTGTATTCGAGCAACACAAAACAGAGGAATTCCTGAATGAGTCAGTATTGTTAAAACTAATAGGTTGAATGAATTATTCACTGGCTCACTGATAAAAACAGTAATTTGTTTAATTCCGGAGTGAATCAGTGTTTTTGAATGAATCAGTTCAGTTAGTGATTGAATAACTTACTCATAAAGAGTCATCTCTGCCACATGTGTTTAGTGATGTAACCTGCAGAAAGTTCGAGTCACTGAAAAATCCCACCACTAATATCCACCTTATTTTTCAATGCGGAAGTAAGCAGAGGTGGGACCAAGTCATTGTTTTGCAAGTCACAAGTAAGTCTCGAGTCTTTGCATTCAAGTCTCGAGTCAAGTCCCGAGTCAAGACAGACAACTATAGGTCCGGGTCGCTAAAGACCAGAATATGTAATAATGATTGGCAAAACATTCATACATTTAAGGGTTAATGGAGGCTTAAATTTAGTCATCAAATTTGGGACTCGAGTCCGAGTCGAGTCTCGAGTCAAGTGACTCGAGTCCACACCCCTGGAAGTAAGCTATTTCCTGTGAATGCAGAGAGTTCTGATTCCAATTAGCCTCTATAGGTAAATAACTCATAACAAAGTGGAACAGAACTAACTAACAATTTTGTACAGCTAAAATGACTGGAAATTTGTGAACCAGAGGTTATATAAACTCAAGTAGCTTCTTCTGAGCAGAACAAAACAAATCAAAACATTGTAATTTAGATTTATGATTGTAATTTAGATTTAAACGTGTTTAGAGTAAAAGTAGTGTGACTGTATTACATGGGAAGTTGCGTCTGAAACAGGCCTGTGCTGTGATCATCCATTCTGCCCGTGTTTCACAAAAGATGGCAATGGTATTATGTGGTTGCTGGCCCAAAGCTGCCAGACCACTTCCAAAAGATTCCACTGCTTGGCTGACCTCTTCATAGGTCATCCAGCTGTAGTCCCCCAGGACCAACTACAAACAAAAACGCACAAGTTTCTATATCAAATGTCACAAATATTTTGACTGTGTTCAGCTGATACGATACTCAAAAACTGATACTCAAACAGAATAAACTGAATCAATTAATGAATTTACCTTCTTAAAGATCTTCCCATTGGGTTGTTTTTCTTCTTCTTCACTAAGGACCTCTCTGGTGCCCAGACAGGATGCCTGACTGAATCTCTTCACAGCATGTACAAAAAGTTTGTCCAGCGTGTCCACGCCCTCAAAGTCCTGTGTAACGAGAGCATCTGCTCTTTCTACCGCCCGATACGGCCCTTCTGGACGTCCACTTAAACTCCGTGCTCTCTCACACTGGGGCAACATGACCTGTACAAAACATACACAAACCAACATATTTCCATATGAACCTCAACTTACAAGACTTACAGAAAACTTACAGAAAAACAGGCATCCAATTCACATGACCGATAAGATATGGTTATTAAATGCAGATAGAGCAGAGGGGGGGAAGAGGAAGAGTAAGTAAGATTTAGATGTGCGTGTGATTGAATGGCTGAATTAGGAAATACTTCACCACAAAACTACCACTAACGTTTAAGCAACCCTGAGGAAACATCAAGAAACATCCGTGTTTGTGGTCAACCATAGGCAGGGAACCAACAGACTAAATATTTATTCTGTGCAACACACACATGTGCCCACACACAAAGACATAAGATCAAACTGAAGTGGATGTGTAGGCTGTTTCCCTGGCACAATTATCAAGGCTTTTCTTTAGTGTAATATTAAAAAAGACTTTAATCTGCACAAATAGAGCAGATTATTCTTGCTTTCAGATGTTAACCATAGCTAAGACTGAAACCCCAGTTTCAGAAGCATCACTTGCACGATCTGCAGGCTGCAAAAGAACAGATCATATCAACATACACAAACACACATGCTGCAGCAGCTTAAGTTACAGCAGCACTATCCAGGAAGGCCACCATTTCCAAACTGATGACATCACAGTTGGGAGGGATTTGAACAGCATGTTCAGGAAGTCAGATGACTCACTTAAACATCTGGAAACTTAAAAAACTCTCCAACTGTCAAACAAACACACATCCTGTATATCATGATATCACTTTTATTTGGCATGATATGTAGCCCTCATGCCAATGCATGCAATAAATGGATTAACAGGGAAAGTAAAGACTTGTAACATTGTTACAAATGTATGTTTCAAATAAATGCTGTTCTTTTGAACTTTCTATTGATCAAAGAATCTTGGAGAAAAAAAAATCAAAAACAAATATCGAGCAGCACAACAGTTTTGAATATTTATAATATTTAGACATTTCTTGAGCAGCAAATCAGCATATTAGAATTATCTCTGAATGATCATGTGACACTGAAGACTAGAGTAATGGCTGTTGAAAATTCAGTTTTGCCATCACAGAAATTAATAAAATAAGAAAACAGTCGGACCATTATAGTGTATATTGTTTATATATATATATATATTAATTAATTTTATAATTATTTAAAATATAATGGTAAAACTTTACAATAGGGTTTCACTTGTTAGCATTAATTAGTTTACATTAACAATGAAAAGTTACTAAAAACTAAACAATCAAAAGTTGCTTCTGTGAACTAACACAGAGATCAACTGTATTTTCAACATTAACAAAGACTAACAAAAATAGCTATATTACTCATTGTGAGTTAATGTACATACTATATTTATGAAGGGAGCTGTTATGCTTTATAAATCAAACGTAAACATTATACAGTATATATATATATATATATATATATATAGTAAGTTTTGAACTGATCAACAAAAAGGATGATGTTTTTTTCATTACTGTACAATGTATCGTAATATACTCAGACCATTTAGTCCAATCTGAAAAAATGACATTTTCCATCAAACCCTTAAAAAGGAGTATAACCACACTGATCCACATATTAAGACAAATTCTCACAGACCAAAAAAATCTTTATCTACATTTATACCTATAATTGTGTTTACATGAGTGTAAACACCTCATGTCTACTCCCTCTCTCAACACTCCACTTCAAAAACATCACCAACATAACATACTGTAAACAACTGAAAAAGAAATACACTGTCATTCAGTCAAACTTGAAACCTGAGGCAAAAGAATTTGAAGTGCACAGGAAGCTGAAATCTTACCTACAAACAACCACTGTGCACAGCAGTTCTTTTTTTTTCCTTTCTCAGACAGACGGACAACTGCAACTGGAGGTTCGGGCTTCCCTTTTCTCACTCTCTCTCTGTCTCCGTCTCCGGCTCTCTTGGCTGATTGGATGTCTTTTGTAAAGTCATAGTTCCAGTGAACCTCACTTAGAGCCCACCCGCTGGCCTCAGCCAATCAGAAGACAGTTCTGAGGAGGAAGTTCTGCGGTTACGTCTGAGTTTTTAGAGGGAATATATCTGGAGGTGTTTCCTCCAGGTGTTTAGTCTTGACAAAGAGTTGTTCCTTTAGCTCACACAATCAGACACGTCAGAGCTAAGCACTTTCTCAAACTTTGAAGAACGCATAGTTCTATTAGTCAAACACCCACTCAGCTGATGCACATTTACTGTTGAGTGAAAGGCATTCCAAGAAAATGAGAATAATCACTGAAGGCTAGCTGTGGGTCATTGGTCATGGATCACACAGTTGCTAACTCAGAACAGGTCTGACCTGGAAATGTGCCTTAGGTGTTGCAGTTCATTCACTTTGACCACATAAATACATCACTGACTGATATAGCTGCATGTGGTCTGCTAATGCTAATTTTTAAAAAAAATATTTTTTATATTCTATCTACTTGTTTTTCTTTGTGTGTGTGTATAATATATATATATATATATATATATATA